ATTTGCAAATGTTTTCAATCAATTGCCAAATTTTGATTAAAGAATCATCATCAATCCCAAGCTTTTTTTTTCACACATTTTTGCTAGAAAAGGAAAAACTTAGCATTCCTGATTAAACCTTTCATGTACAAGTAAAAATCACTTTCATTTTAGTACGAATTGGGTCTGAAACACCCATTTTAAAAAAAAATCACAATTTTTAAGAACAATTTATTTCAAAACAAAAACAAATATTCTACAACAAAAAATTGCACTTCCTAATGAAAAATCTGATTCACTTTTGGTGAAAAACTGGCCCACAAACTGTCGTCTTAATGGTCCATTTAAATAGTCCTCAGACACTAATACTTCTTCGACACTGTGAAGTAGATTTTCTTGAGATCTTTCTGGTTTAGAGCCCAATAGCCAAAGCAGTGCTTCGCTATGGTGGTTCGCTCCCATCAGTTTGTTGTAAGCTTTCATGAAGTTGTACCTCAACATTAGCTGTTTTTAGGTTGACTTGGGGTCTTGGGGATTAAAAGAATTTTCAGAGATCACAGCTCTGACCTCAGCTGATTCACTTTTCTTCAGATGTACGTCCCAAGAACGCAAATTATTGGTCCAAAATACATACATTATAACGTCCGTGTAGGGCAGGTGTAGCCATATGGTGACATACAAATGCAGCTCTTGGGGTTTCACATGTTGCCTCTCTTAAGGAATATCTATGCATAATAAAACAAAATACCTCATAATTGTACTCGATACAGAACTTTTATCAATATACATTAACTTACCATAACCTTATACCTGGTTATTTCGCATTCTAGCTCGAATAAACTCTTCAAGCACATTTAATTTAATTCAGTATACCAATTGACTTTCACTACATTATTTGACTGCAAAGAATTTTCTCCGTTCACAATGCATTTCCGATCGTCAACAAAAAAAAAATGGTAATTGCCCCTATGTCTTTCTGTCGTTATTAATAACAAATATAAAAAAACCAGTCCACAGACATATACAACCTAATGTGAACTAATATAACAGAACTAATATCACCCAAAAATTGATTATGATTGTTGTGATTAAAGTACGAAATCAACTGTCATATTTTGGGGATTTTCACGATCTAAACGTCACTAGTACCGCAGAATATTTGCGTTCTTTTTCTTTCCCAAGGGTTTCTGGATTTTCCGTTTCACTCATGCGCAAGACGTTAGAAACGATGTACGCAGCTTCGATGGATAGAGTTGTTTTTAATTTGCAATATTTCTTTAACAGAAGCTTTTTATATAGTTAAACCTTTAGTAACAGGAAGATAATTGTACAGTCTTTATCGCTTGTAGCATGAACTAGTTAAGATTTCTACCTATGCGGCGTATTTTGTCTGTAAAATCAAGCTCCCATAAGAAACCCATAGTAGAATTTTTGAATTATGAACTGCCGCGCATTCTAAATTCTAACCTTACTTTACTGGTCAATTGGTATACTCAAGGAGGTTTAAATGTATAGAGAGAGTACTGGGCTCGTTGTTTTGTGTCGCACATATACAAACCCTCTCTGCTGTTCGTATGGTGTTCGTACACATTCGTGAATTGACGGATAACCAATTGAGCGAGTCAGTGGCGGAACTAGATTTTACTGCTGTCTATTAGTTTTAACACATTTGTCATTGTTTTAGATTTTAGTGGATGTTTGTAAAGACCAGGTACGGGAACGTGTGGGAAGTGTATTAACCACACATTTTGTTTAAAAATCAATATCTTTTGTTTTTCTTGAAATTGTATGAAATTGAAACTCGTCAGCAGGTTTACTGCAGTACAGTAAACCTCTCGCGCCTCACTCCTCTCACCCTGGAGATGTTGGTCACACTTTGATATATGGAAGGTACACGGCATACCCTCTCTATACATTTAAACCTCCTTGGGTATACTGAAATAAATTAAATGTGCTTGAAGAGTTTATTCGAGCTAGAATGCGAAATAAGCAGGTATAAGGTTATGGTAAGTTAATGTATATTGATAAAAGTTCTGTATCAAGTACAATTATGAGGTATTTTGTTTTATTATGCATAGATATTCCTTAAGAGAGGCAACATGTGAAACCCCAAGAGGTGCATTTGTATGTCACCATATGGCTACACCTGCCCTACACGGACGTTATAATGTATGTATTTTGGACCAATAATAATTTGCGTTCTTGGGACGTACATCTGAAGAAAAGTGAATCAGCTGAGGCACTGCCTCCTCTACTTAACAAGCCGTGTTGTGCGAAATACGGCAACACTGTGCGGCGGCTGGTCAACCTGTTCAACCTGTTACATCTGTGCCGGTGTGTAGCAGTGCAAAAGTGTTTATCTGGTTTTATTTATTATCAAATTTTAACTAGTAGTGAACTTTTGGAATTAACTTGTGAAAATATTAATTTTTAGGAATAACGGAAATTTCAAACGGTAAAGTGTAGCGTAAAGTAATTTGCTAATTGTTCAAAATAACCTCAATTTTAGATGCCGCGTAAATGTTGTGTTCCTGGTTGTAATTCCAATTACGACAGTGAAATAAAAAAGGGAGGTCCAGTTGTATCAGCCTTTAGATTTCCAAAAGATGAAGAGAGAAAAAAGTTGTGGCTTTTAGCTATTCCCCGCAAAGATTTTTCACCCACTGCAAATAGTGTTGTCTGCATGAAACACTTTTCTGAAGACGATATAATTCGCTATGACCTGTACAAAACAAAGGACGGAACTACACAACAATTGCTATTAATGTCCCCCAAGTTAAAAGAAGATGCACTCCCAAGAATTTTTCCAAATCTGCCGAAGTATCTGACTAAAGAAAAGAGTGTTGTCAGGAACGACCCTCAAGAAAGAAAAAAAAAAGTTTTCAACAGAACCGCCGCAGCAATTGACAACTTTTTAAAAGCAGACATTATTCAAAGTTTTGAAAATGTAAAAAATGACTTTGCTTCGAAAATTGAAAGTGTTTCTAAGTGGCATGTGATAATGAAGAACAGTGAATTATTTTTTTATACTTTAAGTGTTGATTATGACAATGGAAGTGATGAAGGTGAACATCTTTATATAGTTAATAGCGTTAAATTGGACCAGAATATGAGATTGAAAGTGGTGATAAAAGGTAACGAACTGTCATCTCATGAATTAAAGTGGATTCTTCCATATGATTTAAAACTAAGTCGATGGTCCCAATTGAAAAATATATTAAGCAGGTACCATAAGTTTGAAGAAATTAATTGTAAATCTGATCAGTCTCAGTTTGAATTATACTTACAGAAATGTAGGAACTATCTAGAGAAATGTTGCGAAATGGCAGAAATTCATGATTATGAACACAAAAGACAACTAGAGATTGTTTTTGATCAAGTATCACAATTAACATTAAAAAAGCGTAGATATTCACCAGCCACAATCTTGTTTTCGTTTATTATGTTTTCATATTCTCCTTCAGCCTATAAGTTTTTGCGAAATTATTTGCTGCTACCCAACAAACGTAGAGTAAGAATAAATGGTGTGTTGGCTTGACAAGGAACCATAGCTAAAGACATCCATATGTATATATAATATAATTATTATATATTACTTTTCCTGTGCGGCTTTAGCTCGGCTCGGCATCGACGTATGCGGCCGGCCTCCGTATCGGTTCCTAGGCGCTGTTGCCAGTTCGTACAGCACGGCTTGTTAGTAAAGGAGGCAGTGGCTGAGGTCAGAGCTGTGATCTCTGAAAATTTTTTTAATCCCCAAGTCAACCTAAAAACAGCTAATGTTGAGGTACAACTTCGTGAATGCTTACGACAAACTGATGGGAGCGAAGCACCACAGCGAAGCACTGCTTTGTCTAAACCAGAGTGATCTCAAGAAAATCTACTTCACAGTGTCGAAGAACTATTAGTGTCTGACTATTTAAATGGACCATCAAGACGACAGTTTGTGGGCCAGTTTTTCACCAAAAGTGAATCAGATTTTGCATTAGGAAGTGCAATTTTTTATTGTAGAATATTTTTTTTTGTTTTGAAATAAATTGTTCTTTAAATTGTTATTTTTTTTAAATGGGTGTTTCAGACCCAATTCGTACTAAAATGAAAGTGATTTTTACTTGTACATGAAAGGTTTAATCAGGAATGCCAAGTTTTTCCTTTTCTAGCAAAAATGTGTGAAAAGAAAAAAGCTTGGGATTGATGATGATTCTTAAATCAAAATTTGGCAATTGATTGAAAACATTTGCAAATATGAGATCTCCTTTATGTATTATTTTAAATTCACAACCGTATCTGTAGCATGTGAAAATCAAAGCCATTTATGTGGAGGGGGAACTCAATGGCAGTATGAACCACTGTACGACATACGTCCGAGGCAAATGTAGTGGTAAAAGTTGAATTTAAATATTTATTAAATACCACCGGTTCCGTTCATGTTTGGTGTCAAGATCAACAGTAAAAATATCAGTCTTCATGGTACAAGTAGTGGGATATATAAGAAAATTACTTTAATGGTAGAATTTAAGCGTTAAAATGACGCCTCGATTTCACCCATAAGGATTACACGGGGAACTGAAATACGGGTCTCGTGTTATGAACTGAGTTCAAATTTCGCGCGACATTCACTTTACTGGTCAATGGAAAAAGGGACACTGGCTATAGTCACAGTAGATCAGTAACGAAACTTCAGCAATATTTGCGGAACGGGTGTGACCTTGGGAGCCCGTTCCCGGGAAACACGAAGATTCAAATATTTCGTAGCATTCGTATGTGATTCATATAATACTAATAATAATTGTACACAAAAATAAAAATGGTTGGCATGTATTAGTGACATTGGTCATTTTTTTCTTTCTTATAAATTATTAATATATTCAAGCAAAACATTTTTATTCAATTTTGACGTTTTAAACTGCGTTTATTAAAGCCTTAACAAGTCTGACAAATAAGTTGTTATCCACAAGTGAATTGCAAAATTTTTAATTCACTCTTAATATTTTTAAATCACTCACAAAAAAATAAAAAACAACTTCAGGAACATAAACATTTTGCTTATTATTTTTAATAGTTTTCACAGAATACAATTTGTTTACAATTTTCACTAAAAGGTTGCTGCAACTAAATCAGTATTGTTTGACATATTTGTTTGGCTCTGTGAGGCGTCAATTTGGGAATTGTATAAATCCCACACCAATAGAATTCCAAAGAACGTTTCGGAAACTATTTACTACAGATTATTTCGATACAAGTGCAAGAACCAACTGTGAAACACTATTTTATTTGAAATGAAAAATTTGCTAAGGTGTTCTTTTAAACAAACTTCCACAACACATCTTCCCTGTATTCCGGCCTCTTCAACAATCATTAAGTGATGTGAGTTACCGGAAACTCACCTTGAAAGAACACAACTGTTTATGGTATGTTTGTGGGTACTCATTAATACGAACATTCTTACACCACCACTTCTGCGAAGTTTGTGTGAACTTTGCACATTCTTACGAAGTGGTACATCCTGTTTTAATTGTGTGACATTTTAAAGTTTTCAATGAAGATGTGATTTTTGGCGATTTAATGATGCCACCTAAACATTTGCAGTTTATACTCCGGTAGTGGGTAATATATTTTGTGAGTTTTACCCAATTTATGCACTGTATTCGTTAACTGGTTTGCGGCTAAAAAACGAACCATACAAAAATACCATTCCACCACCCCTGCAAAGACTTTCCTCTTGATTACCTCGTCTCAGTTTTTATTAGAGTTAGAATTTTTTACACACTAAAATTTAAAAATAAATCTTGGACCGCTCAAACACGCACACAGCGAAAATTAAACTATTTCGTTTAACCTGCAGTTTGTTGACCTCTTTAGCCTGGAATTTTCTAGTATTTTTTACATGTATCGTAAGACTATGTCGTAAGTATCTATTACTTTGTTAAAATAAATTTTACGTTTGTTTTTAACCCCATAACCCAACATCCCGTATGATTCCGTAAATAATATGACATTTCTTGTTGACAAAACCAGACAAAACGTTCACCGAAAACCTTAAAATGAAAAAGAAACTATGTTCTTCAAGGTCGGAGCACCTTTAGTGACGCCAGTGACCTCTTTATGTCGTTCCGTAAGCTCCCCATGTATTTCTTATGGAGTCAGCTGAGACTTTCATAGCCCTGTTATAGTGTTTGGGTGTGAAAGGTTTCACCAGTACATATATGGCAAGCATGTAGTGATTGAGAGCGATCATAAGCCTCTGGAGGCAATTTTTAAGAAACCGCTACATGAATGTCCGGTGCGTTTGCAGCGAAATAGAAAGATTTCAAAATGAGACGATTAAAGATCAGGCTTTTGTAAGATGTAATCACACTGGCCCGAACTGGTTGGCGGGAACACAGGAATGCAGTTCCTGATTCTGCGAAACCATATTTTACTGTCAAAGAAAATCTTTATAAAGCTAATGGACTATTGTTTAAAAAAGAGTCCTTGGTGGTTCCAATGAGTTTGAGGGCCGAGATGTTGAAAAGAATTAATTTTAATCACATGGGAATTGAAAAATGTAAGTTGAGAGCAAGAAAAAGTTTGTATTGGCCAGGTATGTCAAATGACATTGAAAATCTTGTCTCGAACTGCAAAGCATGTGCGAAATTCCACTGGTTTAATCGGAAAGAGCCAATGATATTACGTGAAGTACCTGAAGCCTCATGGCAAGTAGTCGGTAGTGATTAATTTTATTTAGACGGAAAAGACTACTTAATAATCATTGATTATTTTTCAAAATATGTCGAAATAAGTCTCTTAAGGAGCTTAACTTCCGAGTCAAGTTACTTCTATATTCCGATAATGGCACTCAATATGACGCGACAACAATGAAAGAATTTGCACGGAACTGGAATTTTGAACACCAAACATCAAGTCCTCTATACGCACAGTCTAACGGTATGGTCGAAAAATGTATTGGAGCGGTAAAAAGTATGTTAAAAAAAGCCATTTTCGATCCGTACTTAGCTTTGTTAGAATACCGAAACACTCCGATCTGAACGGAAATCGGAAGTCCTGCGGAGTTGATGTTTGGCAGGAAAATTCGCGGTCTGCTACCACAAAAAGAGCTAATTTTTCCAAACAAAAATTTTGAAACAAGCAGAAACCAACTTATTGATAAACAACAAGTGCAAAAGTTGTATTATGATCGAGGTACTGTCAATTTGAAACCTCTGAAAGTTAATGATGATGTTATGTACAGAAAAATAAAGATCAAACAGAAAGAGGGAAAGTAGTGACGATCTGTGACAGACCAAGATCCTATGGGGTACAATTAGAAAGTGGCCCAGTAATTGAAAGAAATAGGAAACACTTGTACAAGTTTACCCCTAAATCCAACTTCAAAGTTCAGGAGGTAGATAATAATTATGGAGATAGTATATAGGAAAGTGAAAATGTTCAAAATCTTGTTACTGTTCCTTCAGAACACAGAAGTGTGTGGCCAAAGCGGAATGTAAAGAGGCCGCAATATTTAAACGATTATGTTAAATAAACTAGTAGTAAGTTGTAGAAAAAATGTTTGTTAGAAGCCTTGTTATTTTATTATGTAAACTTATATTATATAGTTGTATTAAAAAAAAAAAGATGTCATAGGGTTAGGTTGGCAATCCTGTGCGGGCAAGGGCGATGACACAGGGTGGGGGCATTGACAGCTGGGCAGCAATAAAGGACTACAATAAGTTAATGATGATGTTATTAATAAATAAATTATTAACCAAACATGACAGAAATGAAGACATTATACATGTTAATGGTCTTAACTAGTGTTTTATGTACCGGCACATAAATGCAAAATATATAAAAGTAGAATTGTAGACACTTTGGGTCATTAGCGGGTGAGGTCAGCCACTAGCTAATGACGGGCATTAATTCATTACTCATTAAGCTAATACCAATATTAATACAGCATGGCATTAAGCTATCGCTATCATTAAGCTACTGGTATGTCACTTAAATTATCGAAAAAAAGTACTTCAAAAAGATATCAAATTCTAATAACGTTCTAATTATCATCATGACTTTCTCTGAAATGTTTTCAAATGAATTAATGAGTTAAATAAAATCATTTAATTATTTAATGTCTCACTTGGAGTAATTATAAGTGATCAAAAATAAAGCTATTTCGTTTTGGTTTTATATTAACGAGCAAACAAAATAAAAAAAAGTATTCGAAAGTGATTTCGACAGAACTTTCGGCGTTTTTGAAATACTTACTATGTTAAATTAAAGATAAAAGATATAAAATGTTGTAATGACGTCATCAATATTTTTGCAAGGACACGTACCTATATCAATTTGGATAGATGGTACTGTATTCTCAAATTTTCGGGAAAATGGATAGAGTCGTCTTAAATCTTGATTTATTTTCAATACAACAGCGAAACAATTTAATCACCTCTGCCATATATGTAGCAAAGGTGCGGGTGAACTGAAAATCATTTACAAGTGCTCGTGATTTAAGACACATAACAATAACACAGTATAGATAATTGTAACTGTAACTAACATACACAGTAATAACATGAGGTTCAAAATCCTTTGTGCTTGGTGTGACCAAAATTTTTGACTTTGAGAGACGTCGGCCATCTTCCTGAAAGTACGGAACCCTCGAAATTTAAAAACAGTTTACACCCGTATCAATTTAGATAGATGCAATGTAATACAAATAATAACAGTACTGTATTCCCAAATTTTCAAGAAAATGGTGTGAGTCGTTTTTGTTGTTGACCGCTCAATGCACATTAGCGTCATCTAATAGGCTAAGAGATATAGGTTGTAGTAGTTAGGTTGACATAAACTCATGTCCTTTTTGTAAACTAAATTTTCCCCCATTATTAAAGTAAATAAACACGAAAGTGTGTCACTTCATTCCATAATAAATATAAGGTTATGGGCCCAGAAGTAGGTGAAGTGGGCATTTAGTTTCCAAGCACGTTAAAAGACACAGTTTTACATCGAATCCGGACGTCTTGTGTCGTGTAAAAAAATGGCGTCAAGTTCATTACCGCAAATAGAGCGCTTATCGGGGCGAGACAATTAATATAACACATGGAAATTAGCGATAAAAACTTATCTGGAGCACGAAGAATTCTGGGAATGTTTCGAACCAGCCGCAGGTGCTACAGTAGATGGCAAAAAGGATACGAAAGCGAAGGCCAAAATAATCCTTTCAATTGATTCCCAAAATTACCCACATGTGGAGTCAGCAAAAACAGCAAGGGAAGCATGGAACAACCTGAAACAGGCATTTGAAGACTAACCCGCAAAGTAGGTCTGCTACGTAACCTGATCTGCACGCAACTAGAAAACTGTGATTCCGTTGATGAATACGTTCACAAAATCATCTCTACATCGCATCAGTTACGAAACATTAATTTCAACATTAGTGACCAATGGGTTGGAACTTTGCTACCAGCGGGCTTACCAGACAGCTATCGTCCTATGATAATGGGCATTGAAAGCTCTGGTGTCAACATTTCAGGAGACTCGATCAAGGTAAAACTGCTACAGGAAGTAAAAGACCAAGATCATACAAACACTGAGGGTTCAACGCTTTTGGCCAAGAAACAGTTGCAGAAGAATAAAAAAAAAAAGGTCCACAATGCTCCGAATGCAAGAAATATGGGCATCTTGCAAAGAATTGCTACAAGCGTCTAGCGAGAAGCGAATCAGTCAGTGCTAGTAATAACAATAACACAACCACTCAAGGAAGAGATACAGGAAGAAAGGCTTTGTTGATAACCATATTATCGACAGGAAAAGTTGACCCGAAAGAATGCAGCAATTGTAAGTGAAAATTTACCTGAATCAATTTTGACTGTCATTTCAACTTATAATAGTTTAAAATGTTTAAAATACATGGCGGTATGAGCACTTCCAGGGCTGTAAATATTTTACTGGCAGCCAGTAACATTTTTTACAGGCTATAGCCAGTTAAGTGACATTTTCATGGTGAATACAGTGACTTGGTAAATTAATGTTTACAAGTGAGGAACAAGTAAACTCTTTAAGTCGACTTCTTTCATTGCTGACATTATTTGATTTAAAAATATGCAGATTTTTATAATTGACTAACATATTTTCTTTCAAAAAATTATTCGAATATTTTTTGTGGTGATTGGCTTTGCAGGGGACCAGGTATTAATTAATATCCGTTACGGCGTCTTTCGCCATGCTTCTCTCGTTATTAATCCCCCAACCGTCAACAGTACCAACGTACAATACCAACCTAACTAAGATCTACCCTACATCTCCCTTTCTTAAGAAATACAAATAAAATAAACTTAACAAATGAACATGAATGAGGTTACATAAAAACTAAATACTGACAAAAATAAGAATACAAATATTAACGAATAAAGTCATTAAATCTTTTTGGGGCAGTCTTCATTCGTTCACTGCGGCGCACATTTCCTGAAGCCCCGTAGGTACTTTCTTTCTTCGTTGACTTCTCTCTTGGGATGCGGTTTTCTTCTGGGTTGTTAACTTCTATTTCGTTTCCTATATTCATTGGTTGCAAGTGTACTCTATTTCTTCGAATGACTCCCTCGTTTGTTTCTACTTCGTATGATCGTGGTTCATCTCTTTTCTTTTTCACAATTCCTTCTTTTCTGGAGTTTATGATCCATACTTTGCAACCTGATTTCAATTCAGAGTTGTATCGTGTTCGGTGACGTCGATCATAATACTTCTTTTGATTGTTGTTCTTCCAATAGTCCTCCTTTTGTTTACGCATATTGAATTTTGCACGTGCATATATTACATTGGTTGTTCCTGTAAACTTTTTGTCGAAGAACTCTTTTAGTTCTCTGTATGTCGAGAAATCTGTTTCGGTGCACTGATGGCTTTCTAAAAATTTAGTTACTTTCGCGCCCA